GGATTGGGAGGGGAAGAGGGAGAGAACTAGAGGGGGGATACAAAGTAAATAGTGTAATTAAAAATAAAATTAAATTAAAAAAACCACAAAAATAAATAAATATACCTTAAAATTGTATGAGAACAATCTTTAATAAAGACAGGCTTTTATGTAAAAAAAAAAAAAAAAAAAAAAAAAAAGAACTAGCAAAGAACCTGGAGGGACTCAGTAGATATTTGTCTCCCTAAGTATTGATCAATTCTAGTTAATGACTGGATTTGCTTCTGTACTGTGATGTTTTCCTTTCTTGTATAAACATTTCACTTTGGGATGGGGTTAGGCTAAACGAATAAGGAAACTGCATGGGAGTTGGGAGTACTGCCCATGTTTTTGCCATGGGCACTGGTGAGCTGCTGCCTCCTTCCTCCCATTTCATGTACTGAAATCTTGCATTGGCCTTCCTCTCTCCTCTGTTCTGCTTCCGTGGAGAGAAATGCCAGATGGAAGACCAGGTTTGAACCAAGCAGGGTCTTCAGAGAAGGTGGCTGGAGCAAATGTGAGGCTTCTCTTTAAGGGTGTATTTTCTATCGGCGAGCGAGAGGGTGAGGAGAACGGACTCAACATGAAAGGATGCTAGGGAAACACTAGCACGAGGAAGCCATCTCAGTCCTCTCTCTGACCTGGCTTTTAACAGGTCAGCAGAAGTTCTCCTGTTGCACATGTGGCTTTGTAAGTTCATCCATTTCACAGCAGAAGAGCCATGCTTCCTTAAGACAAATGAGTATTTTTCCTATTGTTTGAAATGTTTCTTAAAGGCATACTTAATGATAATAAAAAAGCCCAGATATGTATTTAAGCTATATACTCTTCAGATGGAGTTAATCCACCCTCCATAGCAATCCTGAAGCAATCACTTTTATTGCAGGGATTATCATAACCCTTTAATAGTGCTGTGCACATTAACTGTTCTGGTGAGCAAAGGAAGAGGCTTCTTGCATTTCACAGCTCTGCCAATATCTTAAGTCTTCCCTTTTGAAAAGGAAATATGTAACCCTTGGATGAAACTTTAGAGGTGTGGAAAAGAATTACCAGTTTCAAGCTTCCCCACAGCAATACCGTGTCAAATCAAGAGCCAGCTATTCCATAGTCTGGCAGATCATTGTGTACTGTACATAGGTGTGGGTAAAAGAGAAAGAAATAAACACTCTGTATCTACCCATACCTCTGCCCACAAAGACAAAGGGAAACAGCCCAGCAACTCACTCAGATCCACAGGCAGGGTAAAGGGGACAGGGCTTTATTTTCTTTTTACCTAGTGTCCCTCCAGAACACTTCCCTCCTTTGGGATTACTCAGTCTTCTCTCCCACAACCCATGCTCCAACCCTTAGGTCCCCTAGGAGAAGTTTTGGGTACAGATGGTCCCTTTACTACGCTCTCCACACTGGCTGCAGTTTTCTGGTAGACCTCATCCATGAGAAAAGCCCTCTCTTCCTGAAGGGGGGAACTTCTCTGTGTTGAAAGTGAGCGTGCTTGATACAGTCTTGCTGGCGAGGTTCTATCTCAGGCATCATTCGTGCGCATTTTCAGAGATACACTTACTAAGAAAGCCACTAGTTTGTGTCCGTGTTCATGTCCTCCTCCATCAAACAATACTGCATATCATGCACAGTCGTGTGTGATAGTGGTGAGTTTTCTGTGGGGGTGCTTACACACCTTGGCCAGCATCATTCCACGTGATTTGGTGGGCATGCTTCTGGGTGAGGTTAGCATTTGAGTTTGAAGTCTAGCTAGATCATCTTTTACAGTGTGTGCAGGCCTCAGCCAAACCACTGAAGACCCAAACAGAATAAAAAAGGCCAGTCCTCTCGTGGGGAGGGTGGGGAGAAGGAAGACTTCTTCCTTTTTGATTTGCCTTTTTGCCTGGGTGTCTTTTTCTGCCCTTGGTCTTGAACTGAAACATTGCTTCTGGCTGAGTGTCTGGGTGGTCAGTTGCAGAGAGTTGGACCTCTTTTCCCTTGTACATGTCCTTCCTGTCCAGCTTCTCTGAGACCTTGCTCAATGTAGCATTGTACCATGAAGTGGGCAAGCAGCAGTAATTAGTGAATTCTGTGTGCAGTGCATGTTGGCTCCTTCTGCTGACACTTATTCTGGAGTGTTTATCTTATGTACCGGGAAACTAGAGAGGAACAAAGTAGATTTTACCAGAGATTAAGGTCCAGTACCACCACTATGTATATTTCCAGGAGCCATGTGTATCTGGACTCTCACAAACACTGTCTCTGAGTGGGAAAATAAGTTTCAGCAGGATGCTGACATGTGCTAGGTGAATGGTTGAGGCAGAGACACCATTTTCCCCATCCTATACAGACTGTAAAGAGGTGAGATTCAAATGCAAGTCATGTATTAATGTGACCTTTGGGTGAAACAATTTCTGTCTATTTTGTTGAGAAGTAAAACTGGACTAAAAATAGTTCCTGTCTCACAGCATTTTTATTAGGCCACACAGGATATTTGTAAAATATTCACAACAGCACCTGCCATATTTAATCAAATCTGAGATGTTATCATCTCAGACATAGCATGATGTGGCTACTCCTAAGGATTTTAAGTAGTGCCAGTTATTTTTGTAGGATGCTATTTGCTGTGCTTTTTTTCTCTTATGCTAGATGATGAAATAGTAAGTCTTAAAACGAAGGAAGTTCAAAAGATTGGTTTGTAAATGTAAATGTAATCTCAAGTCAGGCAAAATGATCACTCAGGGAAGCCTGGAACAGTTCTAAGTTTGCCTAGAATATAATCCATTTGTGTTTGTGCGTGGTTACCCAAACATCAACAGAGCGCCAAGCAGACCATGTTATTGCTGAAGATCCAAATTACTTTTGTTAAGTTTTCTAAGAAATTATTAAGGCATATTTTCTTAATGAAGCATAGAGCCTGCCTTCACTATGGACTCTCTGGGATCATTTGGTCAGAATGCTGATGCCCTTGCCCAATGCTTGTGTTGAATTCGAAACCTTGAGTGTGTTTGCATTTGGCAGCAGGGCTATAATGTCTTCCATTTCATTTACATCTATTTTATTCAGAGAAAATGAATGTTCTGTATGGTGTACAGAACCGTTGTCACATAGACCAGCTCTGGTTTCTTCTGGGGAAGGGTCACTAGAACAACTTTGTTTGCAAGCCAATGTACATGGATCTTGGCAATAGATTTTAGTTCCTTATAGCACAGTTAAACCCAAGTGAGGGATGTGGTCAAAAGAGGTGGAAGCCTCCTCACCTTAGACATGGCATGGCTGTCATTACTGGTGATAAAACCAAGCCTAGTATCCATTCTATGCTGGTGTATGCACTGTGGAGTCAGGTTTCTTATTATTTTTAGGAGAGATAAGTATAGGAGGAAGTAACATGGACTTGCAATACTTGACTAGAATTTGACAGTATCTGTGTAGACTCATGACAGGATGTGTACATGTACGCACAAACAGAGTCTAGATCACTTCATTGGAGTTACGACTAAGCCTACATACACAAAGGTCATGGTTTCTAAGTCTGAGCACTTCTTAAAAGTCATTAAGGCTGGAGAAGTGAGGTGAGCTGGAAAATATACCTAGAATGTACTTTTGGGCCAGAAACGTAGTACATTGTCTACAAAAACAGAGACCCAATGTTTGGCTGTGAGTCTCAGCATCCATTTCAATCCACTGCTGAGCGAAGCCTCTCAGAGGAAAGCTATGCTGGGCTCCTGTTTGTGAACATAACAGGGTATCATTAATAGTGTCAGGGGTTAGCTCTCCCCATAGGGTAGGTCTCAGGTTGGGCCAGGCCTTGGATGGCTCTTCCCTCAATCTTTGCTCTGTCTTTATCCCTGCACATCTTGTAGGCAGGGTAAAATTTGGGTCAAAGTTTTTGTGGTCTGGTTTTTCCCTCCCTCTACTAGGAGTCCTGTCTAGTTAGAGGGTGTTCTCTTTAGTCTCCATGACCCCTGCTACTAGGAATCTCATCTAGAGTCACCCCATATCCTCCCAGAAGTCTACCCTGTCTTAGGTCTTCAGTTTGTCATAGAGATGCCCTGCCCACGGAGTCTTGTGGAAAAGTGGGGAGAAGGTGAGAAGGACCTGGAGGTGACAGGAGCTTCACAAAAATACCAACAGAGCCAACTATCCAGGGCCCAGAGGGCTTTGTGGAGACTAAATCACCAACCAGGGACAATGCATAGACTGGACTTAGGCCCCCTACACAGATGTGCAGCTCAGGGTTCATGTGGGTTCCCTAGTAAGGGGAGCTGGGGCTGACTCTGACATGGACTACTTTTTGATCACTCCCCCACTGAAGGGGCTGCCTCGACAGGCCTCAAAGGAAGAGGAAGAGCTCAGTCCTGATGTGACTTGATGATCTGGGGTGGGTGGGAGCTTCCATCAAATCAGTTCCTCATCCGGAAGATGACAAGTTTGGGCTAGCTGATTATCTCCCTAGGGTCTTCTGATGGGGATGTCAACAGTCAGGATACCAGCAGGGGCTGCATTCCTTTGTGTAGTCTGTAGGGATGAATCAGCTTCAGACTCATTTCAGGTTCTTGGCTGAATTCCTGTCTGATGAGATGGAAGCTTCTAGTTCATTCACTAGACTCTGCCTCCATCTGCAAACAAGCAACAGTCGTTTATCCCACGCACGATTTCAGTCTGTCTGCTTCAAAGGGCTCATGAGATTATATTGTCTCTACCTGGATAACCCAGGATCTGCTCCTTTGCAATTAACCAACCAGCAATCTTAATTTCAGCAACATCTCTGGGGCTATGTCATAAGTGTAAAATAACCATAAGAACTCTGGAGTTGAGTTTCTGGAGGACTCTGCACTTTTCTTATTAATTTTTTATGTTAATTTGAGATGTCATCAGATGGAAATACCAACTTGGTAGTGTTTAGCGTGGCAGGCAGGAACAGCACAGCAGGTAGGAGCAGGTAGCCACCGTGTCCCTGAGTCTTGGTGATTGTGTTCCTGTGTGCTCTCCCTCCCTCCCAGGCCACCACCTGATCAAGCAAGGCACCTGCGAGGTGGTCGCCGTGCACCGATGCTGCAATAAGAACCGCATAGAGGAGCGCTCTCAGACGGTCAAGTGTTCCTGCTTCCCAGGCCAGGTGGCCGGCACAACACGGGCACAGCCTTCCTGCGTCGAAGGTAAGGCCTCTCTGGGGATCCTCTCCAGTATTTTACAAGGGCTGAAAAATCAATCTGTGGAAATCGAGAGTGCTTGGAGTGTCTGTCCAAAACTTAACACAAGTAGAAGCTTCAAAAATCTCCTAATGAATAAATCAAGCCTTTAATAATCTCTCTCAAGGGGGACTCTGTGTGTGCTTGTACATACATGTATGTGTGTGTGTATGTGTGTGTGCGCACACATGCTTCAAAGCCTCTTTGCTCATCTGTCTCCGAATGCCACTCAGACCAAGCATGTCTTTCTTCAGGGTCTCCCTTCTCCCTTTTCTGTATATGTTCTGTACTGTTCTGAAGGAGTTGGTTCTGAGAGTCTCTGTGGATACCCAAATACCCACGAAGGTTCAAGAGCCGTATTTAAAGATGATGAAGTATATTTATCACCTGTGTGCATCCTCTTGTCTACCTGAAGTCATCTTTCCTATAGTGCCTGAAATACTATTGTAGAGTAAATACATATAATGATGAGCTTCTATTTTTTTGGAGACAAAATTCCATATATTTTCAATGGGAATGTGTTCTGTCTGTGATCAGTTAAGTCCACGGATGTTTAGTCAATGTGTAGGGAGAGTTGACTGTGCCTAGAACTGGCAGTGTGACCTTTTATTTCCTGCTTAGTGGCACAAGGTAATATCCCTTTGTTACTGATATAGTTTTTATGACTACTAGTTTTTATGTTTTAAAATTGTTTGTCTTTAAAATTTTTATGTGTATGAATGTTTTGCTGGCTAGTATGTATAAGCACTATGTGCATACAGTGCCCATGGAGGCCAGAAGAGGGTGTCAGATCTCTCACAGTTGTAGTTTCTTGTTGGTGCTGGGAACTGAACCTGGGTCCTCGGCAAGATCAGCAAGTGCTTTTAAATCATGGAGCCACCTTCCCAGGCCCCTACTTTATATTGTTAACAAGCATTTATAAAACATCTCTGGAGCAACTTTGCTGACAGTAGTTTGGGATCATGTATTATTCATTGATAGTCTCCAGGTCCCCTAGCAGAATGCTGTACTGATAGCTTTTGTGTTGGAAAGAATTTATATAAAGTGAATGACCATTGTGGGTTGAAGGTGGAGGCCTGGATTGATCCTGAGTCCCATGGTTCTTGTAGCAGACACCTATTTGGAGGCAAATTTCAGTGGCCTGGATTGATCCTGAGTCCCATGGTTCTTGTAGCAGACACCTATTTGGAGGCAAATTTCAGTCCCCAGAGGAAGAGGTATATGGTATTCCCTCTGCAGTTTTCTCCATTAATCTGGCCACTGCAAGATCAGGAGCTTTTTAGATGCCTGTTGAAAGGTTAGCAGGAAAGACAGCAACACAGATTCTAACACCACATCTTACTATAGAGTCGGTGATAATAACTGACTCCACCCTGCCCCCCTCAATCAGAAACCAAGACGTCCCAACACTGATGCACTAAGGGGTCGACATTCTACAGTGACCTTTAACAGGGGAAAGTGGGAAGGGCAGCCTTCCTCTCTTCAAGTCTTTATCCAAAGCTATCCCAATTTTATTGCTGAACTCAGATTGAAAGGGTAACGTAGTGCTACCCTGTCCTTACCTAACAGACCCACTGTGCTCTGAATGTGCCTCCTGACAACCATAGATTGCGCAATTTCTGTCGTGCAGGATGGGAATCTTCACGAAGTATGGCATATGTAAGGTGAATTATCGCATGTTAAGCCAAGCTGCTTTCACTGACATCCACAGAAAACTTTTCCTCTTCAGTGCTCTGTGATTATTGATCTTGAACATGTAAAACAACAACAAAAATGACAGACACTTTGAAGTAGACCTTCTTTAACACAGACTCAGTCACTACACTCTGATGGGTTTTAAGTGTACCACCAATGAAACATCTATATTAACCCCACTCTGCCTGGCTCTGCCCTGCCCTGTCCCAAGGCTCAGGGAATATTGTGAAAGAGGGAGTGGAAGGTTGTATGGCTTATGGATGTGACAAGGTATTTGCAGTCAAGCCATTGCCTGAACGGGATGAAGCCAGTCAAGATTCTAGCCTGGAGCCAGGAGGGACTCAGGAACCCCCACCTTTACCGGAAGATGAGCTCTTAACAGTTGATGGCTTCAGTGGGGAGGGAGAGTGTTTATAAAAAGAGTAGTTGTGCTTGATCCACCGTGCTCCGTTAAGGATGGCCTCACACTGTGAGTGACTGGGCAGTACAAACAGGAATCCGTGAGCTTTAAATAACAGCAATGAGTGGATACAAATCTGGGAGGGCGTAGAAGGTGGACCCAGGAGGAGTGACAGTGAGGAGTGTTGGTGAATATGATCAATATACATTATCCGAAATTCTCAAAGAATTAACAAAAATATTGAAAATGATACTTGTTGTTCTCTATTCGGCAGGGCCCTTAATCTCAGCTGAGGTCCTCGAGTTTGGCTTCCAAATGGAGAATGGGGGTTCCATTTCTCTCAGGGGCTAGATAGAGTACTTTAGGGTGAGGCTCTGAGTGCGCTAAGCCACGGTAGGTTGTTGTTACAGTTTAGCTCTTTTAGTATGAGTTTGCTGGTGGTAATGGAAGCTCCAGCGTTCCAAAGCCTATGAGATACCAAAAGGTCACAACTCTCTGTCAAGCTGCTGTGCTAAGCATAGCAGAGGTGCCAGCCAAGGCCCATACCTGGTCAGCTTGCAGCCAAGATACAGACCTGGCGAGGCCCAGCAGGCTGGAGGGCAGGCCTGGTTAGGTGCAGCCAGTGGGGAATAAATGCCGAATCTCAGATGGTCTTAAAGTGAGAAATCATGAACCTTTATTCATGTGAAATCAAGGGTAATATAATCCCTGGGCATAGGGCAGGATTTCAAGAGTGAATGTGTTTGATTCACTAGGGTCAGGGAGTCGACTAGGGTTACTTTTGGTCTTATCACAAGAAGGAAAATAAAGAACTTAATTATCCTGTGGTGATGGGGAGGTGAATCTCCGAGTACGATTGAAGGTTACTGCTGGACTAAGATCCTTAGCAGGGTGGGGCTTTTTTTTTTTTTTTTTTTTTGGACTTCCTAGATGCTTGCTAGAGCAGTTTCCTTATCAGGGAAGGTCTGGCCTGTAATCTTCTCTGAGGGCCATGTGACCTCCTTACACTACCTGGAATCTCCCAGATCAGAAGAGACTCTTAGAACCCTGCTGAGGGAAGGGAGTCTATCGTCATAGACCAAGAGCAAATAATTGGCTCTCCAGAGACAATTGACTTCAACCTTATCCAGCAGAGCCCCACAGATATGTAAACTCACCAAGTTGCACTATTTTCAGCCAGGTGCATAAAAAATATTTCTCTTTTCCCTTTACTATTCCAAGTCTTGTGTGTTCTGTCTTATCCTTTCTGTCTCTCACATGGGTTTACTTTTTCCCATCTCCACACTTGCTAATTCCATACACCAGGGGCCAACGTACATTTTGGTGGGCTCCTGATTCCTGATCTTCTGTTTTCGATCCCACATCCAAAATAGATCTTCTGTAAAAGAGAGCAGACCCATGACTCTCATGCTAAAATCACACTTAAGGGACCAGTCTGTACAATGAGATTCACATTCTGTTCCATGCTGAAGAAAATGTCCAAGATCTTACTCCATTTCCATTTCCTCTGCCTTAGCCAACCCAGAATGTGTTGATTTCTACCCATGTCTGCTCCAGGTTCATTGCCCTTATCCCCTGGACACATGTTTGACTTATTGAAAACCTCTGTACTTTCACATCTCCTATAGGGTTTTGTTTTCCCTGGTACCATTTTTTTCTGTAAAACCCTGCCGTGTACATACCCTTCTGATAGTCTGCAAACAGCATTTTCACCTTTCTTCACAGGCTGGCCACGAACTAGTTTTAGCTTGACAAAAAACTGACTCATCCTAACTGTTGTAGGTAACAGTTACCTTTGTCTCTGTGGGCTTGAAACTTCTTCTAAAGGAAGTGATGAATCATAATATGGACTATTTTTACATCCTGTCTAGCCTAGCATCTTTGGATATAAAGTTTTATATGTAATGTTCTGCAGTATTCAGCACTTTTAATGGTACTTGAAAACTACTTTGGCATGATGATTATTCTTGTTGTCACCTTCATCTCAGTAAAGGAAATATACCAATACCCCAAATTTTACCCACAAAGAAAGTATATGAATATACCAGATATCTCTCTATCTCAGTAAAGAAAGTACATAAATACCCCAAACCACATCTTTGGCTTTCATCCCTTGGAGAAACTATAATATTTAGTTAGTGTATTTTTTTGGTGTATTTCCAAATTTTAGAATAGGCTGAAGTGGGAGACATTGGTCTAGGTTGCGATATAAACGCATTGTTTGTTTAACTTCTTAAGTTTACCTACTTTCTTTTATCAATTTTGGATCATAAGTATCTGCTAATCTGTGCTGATCTAACTTTTCTTTTTATCTATTTCACAGTCGTGTGTTGAAGGGATTGGCTGTAACTTAGTTCTTTCTTCGTTGATGGGTATTTTAGTTGTGTCTATGGCAAATCCAATACAGGCCAGTTACATGACTGGTATTTCAAGCATTTTAGGATGAGTGAGTAAAGACAGCCCATCATTTCTTTGGCATTTGAGCATAGTCTGTAAAGTTCTGTTGAGCAGGCCTTTCTGTGTTGATACAAATGTTCTCTCTTTCAGGAAAAGTGATGACCCACATGTGGCTAGTAGGAGTTAAAATGGGCACATCAGGGACAATACCTCACATTATACAGTACACCATTAGATTTGTATAATATGCAACTTCAGAATAACAGTTATGGATAGAGACTACCAAGAAGTTTCCTGAAAGAGAACTAATTGTGTCTTCTTGTTCTGTTCTCACATAGCTAACCTTCCTTGGTCAACAGCCATGTTCAATGAGTGTTTATTGGATCAAGTCACTGAGGAAGCATAGACATTTTAAGCTTTATTTAGGATGTATATCTGTTTCCCGTCCACCTGAGCATCTATTCATTATCTGAAT